TTTTTTTTTTTCGTGATCTGAATACTTGACACTGTTCGAATATAGATGCATAGATACATACACAGAACCACAGTCTCACTGCTCTATAGAAATATGAACAATAGATATGCTTATGTATGTATATGTGCAAAATATGTCCATGCTTTATGTATTTAGAGATGCCTAAGTTGTGAAACAATATTCTGCAGGCTAAGTTCCTCAAAGCTTGTGGAACTCTGCCTGAGACTCCCGCTGAAATTCGAAAAGCCTCGGAGATATGGAAGGATCCATCAACTAAAGATGCAGAAGCAACACCTTTGAAATTCAATTCATGGCTCTCTAATGCATCCATTGAGAAACTCAACTTGGAGAAGCAACCTGATGAACCTCCTACACCTGTCAAAATTCGTGAAGAACAGAGAATAGAATCAAGTTCATCGATGGAAACTCCGGGCAGGTAAATCTACCAATCTTTGCGTATGGCTGTGAATCATTGAGTAGCCCATTCTATTAGCACGTAATTGCCATGGAAACCTCAAATCATTTCCTTCTCTGCTTCCCCCTTTTCATATTTTACTGAATAATTATTAGGGTTAGTTGTTAATTTCAGTTAATAGCCCTCCAATCTGACACACAAGAAAAGTAAACCTGAAGTGTTGCTGAAAAAATTACATGGGTTACTAAGCCATTGTTTATAATCCGTCAAACTACTTTTTATCCTCATATTTCGTAGGACCAACAAGTATTGCACGCTTATCCACCACTCTTTTCTATTTGTTTATAGTTTAAACTGTTTATAATCACCTATCAAACAAGGTTTAATATTCTGCTTTCCAGCTGCATGACTAATGGAATGATAACGAGACGAGCTTACACCAATTTCGTTTCAAGTGGGAGCATTGAGAGTGTCATCACACCCACAGATGAACATGCTAATGTCACTCGTAGTTTCAATACTTCATCAGTTCAATCTGAGGATATGGCTCCAAGTGTACAATTCAAACACAAATCTGTTCGTTTTGAATGTGAGTCTGATATGTCTTCATTTTCATCAAAAGGCTCTTCTTCTGATGTTGCCATTCAAAACTTGAAGCAATCTGGATGTGCTGGTAATGTTAATGAATCAAAGCTGTCACCGTATCCAACCCCGTTGAAACTAACTGATGAGATGCAAACACCGGGCACTGTTTTCCCTGGATATCTTGACAACATGGTGGATGGAAAAACTGCTAGAATCAGATCTCAGTACGTTTACCCTGTCTTGAACCCAGCCGAGAATTCCTTCCAGCGGAAGGTATTGAAGGATGAAGTTTCTGATTCTCATCACCTAAGACAATCACTTCAGCAG